ACGGGGGCAGCTGCCCCCCTGCCCTGACTTTACGGGGGCAGCAGGGGCAGCACTTTTCCCTTGTGAAAATAGCACTGTGTTAATGCGAATGGAATAAATATGTAAAATGTCAAGTTCTTGGGAGAGATAAAACAAAAGTGCGGTTAGGAACAAAATGAAAACAATTAAAACATTGGGTGGATCTGTTATGAACTTACATGCAAAAATGCTATTTCTTTCGGCAACACTTTAAAATGTAGGAAATTACAGTAGAATAAGGTGATTGGTGTAACGGAGGCATCTGGAGTCCTAGGCGAAAACTAAGATAGGGACCCTATTAACGGACTGTAGTATAGAATGTCAAACACTAATGCAATACGTAACAACTTATCCAAGTTAATTAGAAGAAGCCTCAATTGAAGTAATCTAAAAGCTTTAAAAATGAGATGATCTTTAGCAAAGTCATCAGAATTTATAAGAAAGAAGTTGCCATACCAATAAAGAAGGTAACAAAGATGGAAACCTTTTGATAAATCATGACCTCAACTGAATGCCATAAAGAATGCCTGCCACTTGCCAGAGCTCACAAGTCATTGCAATGGTATAATTCATTTGCACTTTCTTCTGCAACTGCTGAACGTACTTTTAGCACAATGCAGCGTGAAACGACACGACAGCCAACAGCCTACGGGTTTTTTTGGGGAGGGATTACATTTAAAGACCTCAAAATGAGTAGAGAGCCATTATCAAATGAGAACCAAATAGAAAAGTGTTAGGAAATGGAAGGCTATCTGTCATAAAAGCAAAAATTATAATAAAGAGCTTAAGGCTAAAGCTGAGCATAATATTCGTAATTCAACACGCGAGCTACGTAAAGATAGCTCTCTGAATCATAACAATTTATAGCTATCGTGTAGATAAGTATTGTTTAGATTTTTAGCCAAGATGCATTCTATATGCTGTTAGGCTATTGTAAATAATTATATAACTAACGTAAAACAAAAAGTAAAGAGAAAATAAAAATTAAAATTAAAAAAAGGACACTGCCAGCTACTGAATAATGCTGTAGGAGCCTGGCCAAGAAAGTATTTTCAGAAAGAAAAAAAACAAATATCACAACATGTGCCATCATGTGCTATCATTTGTTATCAACTGTACTTATATGTGATCATGTGGTTTTAAAAGTAAATACTTTAAAAACTAGCTCTAAAAACTCTACGTTCTTTTATCAAAAAACACCGCGAATTGTGTCTCTAGCATTTTAAAAATTCAGTAGATTTAGAGCAGTACTTGGGGTGAGAGAGGGAAAGCTGCTTCACCTGCCATGATTATCCATCTTTTGATGGACTTTGATTAATAGCATTCATATTAGTATAACGCTTTAATTTAATAATAAGATCGCATTTCCCAATAACAGATCTTGCTCTGCGACTTGCTCTGCTGTTTTTCAGCTAAACTCTATAACTCTTTATATCTAAGACGATTAGGAACGAGGGACAGCTGTAGACTAGTTTATTGATTTCGTATCATAGTATATACACAGTGACAATAGTGCAGCACACTTATTACGGGGAAAATCTTTCGGTGCAATTATCCTTCACCCGAAAACATTATTAATTATTCTGTTTGGCAAATATTGCCTACCCTAGGCATTTGATCCTTCAACAAACTGCACTTGTCTAACTTTGGTTGCTTTCAATTCTTTTTAAATTTTCATTTCTTTTTCACACTTGCTTTATAAATTGAAAATCTTGATTTTCAAAAGCTGAATCTTGCCAAACAAAAAGATAGAGAGCAACTTAGCTCACAAATGACGTCATATCGAAAAATAAGCCATTCACTACACTTTCGATCTCGACGAGAAATTATTAGATAATTTCTCGCTTATGTCAGACCTTGTTTAAGAAAGCTTTTTTGAGCTAAAGGGATCATAAACATATCCTAATATTTGAACTTCTTAATAGTCAACACTTTTAATTGAAGATTCAGCGAATATTAGAAATAAGACGTCTAATATTTGAAACAAAACCCACCCCCAAAGAAAACAGCCACCTCGGTCTTGCAAATCTAAAATTATAACTAAATCTGCGATTCTGCTATCGGGCAGCATTTACTAGAAAACCCAGATTGTGCAAAAAACTATAATGGCGACATGTTTTGGATTATTGGTAAAGCCCGATCGTCGTTCCACCTAGCAGTTTTAGAATCTATCTACATAAGCACGAAAAAACCGCTACTGTGTAGACAAAAAGAGTTCGTTTTCACCTTAGGACTCCACTGGTAACATTCTCAATAGGCAAAGCGGCACTGATTGGTCAACCTATACAGTCATGTGCTCGTGTTTCTGATTGGCCTATTTTGATCCACAACTGGGTATATATATTTCTTAGCGTAGAGTTTTCGATCTATGTTCTGACGTTTTAAACTCTAAAGAGTGTCAGACGAAAAGCTTTAGTTTACTAAATGTTTGCTTTTTTCAAAGCCAGAAACAATAGTACTAAAATGTGGAGAATAGATAAGAGTACCATAGCCCCTTTCCAAAAATGCCCCCAAATGTTATTTTTCAACTGGATTAGTGACCTGATTGGGGTTCTTCCAATACTTGTGAACATAAATATCAATGACAATATTTGCATTTGGCCATATCCGCTTGATTGCCTACAGGAATTTATACAATACACCCAAAACATTTGTAAGTCAATCAAGTTTGAAGCAAAATAGTCCAAAACAAGTACACACTCTTGTATACAACAATTATTTACAAAAAAAGGGAGATTCATGACCTTTGTTGCTAATAATCAGCAGACACCTGTTATTTTGCTTTATATTCAATATTTGGTACTGCTAAGCATCTGAAGGTAGCTTTTAGGACACTGAATAGCTGTGCTTGTCATGCAGAATCCTGGTCTTCCCCTCGATGTGACCATGTCTCGTGATCCCTATCGATACTCTTGCCGACTCTAGTTTGCAGTCTGCTTTTAACGAATCTTGATGAGTGAACTCTTGCAGTATAATAACACCACTACGGCATAATAATGCGGAGATTGGTTATATTTTCACGGATGCTAGAGGTTGGCTGGCTCGCTCTAAATTCCGAGTTATACATTATAGTGCAACGGGTCTCAATTAACGACTCGGATGACCACTCGGCCTCTCCACTGCACATAACATAAAGTATCAAACTCAAATAATATGTTATCCATGCACGATATAAGCAGAAAGCATATTATTTTCATAAACAGAATTATTTACAACTGCATATATATACCATATTAATGAGAACGTATACACATGCACATGGATCTACCATTGTTTTATACATAACGCTGCGATAAACTGATTCACCAATATTTTGTTCTTACAGCCCCAACAGAAGGAGGAACTGCTTTGCTTACGTACTTCAGTAGAGCCAACCTAAGCGCGTGGAGAATCAGACAAACGTTTTTTCTAGTCGTCTTATGTCTTGCACACCCTTTTCACTTTTGATAAAGAAAATGTAGGCATTCATATAAAAAATATAAATATCAGTGTATGTCATAAAGTAAAAAAAACCTCATTTACCATATTCAAATAAGAGGCCATAACCCCTGAGTGGGATAAATCGCGTCCTCATCTAAACATTTGCGAATACGATCTCACCTGCGGAAACTAGCCCACTCAAGTTGGCTAGCCCACTCAAGTGGACAGGCCCTTAGATAGTTTTTAAATGAAATATTGTCAATGTTTTAGCTGCTGTTAGATTAGCAATTAATAATTTTACGTCCACAAGCCACTTTTAATGGTTCTTACTTGCTCCCATGTGGCTTATACATATATAAATTAGGAATCTAATTATAAGTAACAGTTATACCGGTCGGAAATAAATTGCTTGATGCCTTATAGCCAGAGTAGCACACGGTATTGTGTATAGAACAGAATGGTCACACCTATTGTGCATAACTATGATTGTGAAACATCCCCTTTTATGCAATCAATTTTTCTAAAATTAGTCCCAAAGGCAAATACAATAATTACAGAAAATCCAATTATTCATTATACTCTATTTTTTACTACCAATCAAAACAAAGACAAATTTTCCAACAGACAGTATTTCCAATTGGTGAAGATCAAGCATGTTGACAATTGTGATAACTTTTCATACTTAGGATGTGGGCGTACCGAACAAGATTTCAATGAAAACTTCTGACAAACTCAATCTCTATTGTTCATAGGCAAAAGGGATTAGGTATTTTAGTATACTAATGCTGATTTTCCAGTGCGCCCACCAGAATTGCATTAATCCCTCAAAGGCTCCGTCGTCCTGCCCCAGAGCAAGCCGGAATATGGAAAAAGGGAATGATTAGCAATTAACGAATATTTCTGGCACCACACAAAACCAAAAGTCAAGTCGTTCTTTGTTCCAAACCACTTTACATTAAGCAAACAACCATTTCACTCACGAACTGCAGTGCGCTCGAATATCCAAGCGGAAATCGGATTATCTTGTCAAACTTGAGGAAGTATTCTCGATTTCCCACTTTGACGAAGATAATGAGTTTTATGTCAGAAATCAGTGCGTTCAGGGCCTAAGATCAGGCATGTTGACAATTATGATAAAGTTTCATACTTACTGAATCAAATATTGCTTCAACAAACAGAAATGAAAGATTTAGCAGGTAAATTAGAATCAACTAGCCATAACAGATGAATTATTGAGAGCAGAAGAAAAATAACAGTTGAAGCCGGGTCAACATACTCGATATTTTTTTTCATGGTTATAGAACTCGTGATGAAGCCGAAATTTCGTTCTTTATAAATATTTGTGCAAAATAACTGCTTCAACGCATGGAATAATTTAAATCTTGACAATAAAAGTGTCAGGGGATAAGAGCTTGCTATGTATATTTCATTAGGATTGATTTGAATCTTAGTTGTAAAGTGTAAGGCAATTTAGTGCTTTCGTTGACGTTGATCTACTGTTAGACATTTTGCACTGCACATATAAAATCAAGCCTATCATCAACGCTTGATAAAGGTATGTGTGTCATAGACAATAGCGTCTCTCTGCTTATTGTTATCATAGTTGTTGGTATTTGTCTAAAGCAAACGTAAATGATTCATGGCATGCTGTGAAAAATTCCAAGTTTCTTCCCAAATCTTCGTTTCAATTCAAAGGAAACGCACAGCCAAAATCTTTGCAATGGGAGTTTCACAAAGCACATGGAGCCGGAAAAAACTCGTTATCAAATATCCAACCCTTTAGGTGACGCATGAAAAACATGATTTTCTTCCAGATCATTCAGAGAATAATGCGGCCAACTGCAAATTTTTTATCATAGAGGGAAGATGATAGTTACCTAGTCAATATCTCCCTCCTGGGTTTCCATTTGACGATATAAACCTGGTTTTTAAGTGGATGTATTTGCAATGCAGTGGAATCCTGCTATTACGAACTCTGCAGGGACCAAGATAAATGCTTGCAGTAGCGAAAATTCGTTAACAACTTCCAGTGCATCATAATTGCTGAAGTGTTTCATCAGTTTTGTATTAACAAAAGTTTACTGTCTCAGGTAAAAAAGTTCAGTACCGCAACCCCTCTATCCCAAAATCTTATTGATTGCAAGGTTGAATAACAACATCGTTCTGAAACTAATTAAATCTGAAATGGGATGTAGTATATAATAGTAAAAACTTTAGTGTACTGTAAAAAAACATTTGGCACGCATTGTAGCAAAAAATGGCGAACGAAAGCCGAACATTATGACGTTGCAGTGTCATTGAATGGATTAATCTCCATTGGGTTTTTTTTTGGAAAGAGGCAACTTCTAAGCGTTGCATCTTAATGGATAATTTAAATTTTCGACGAAAACAGTTTTATCAGTTTAAAAGCAGCAGAATCTTTTTATTCAATAAAATTGAATAAATGTTTTGACTGGAGAGACCCGTGTGACCTACAAGTAACCAACTTTTAATTGATAATGCACTTTTTTAACGAGGACTGAGGAGCACACACGTAAAAGGTCAAAACATTTGAGGAACTGCTATAAAAAAATCAGTAAAGAACGATTTTGATTATTTTCGTTGCTGCAAACAATCATACTTGCGTGTTATGTAACAAGCTAACTGCGTGTTATGTTTGTGATATGATGTGTACTTGGAGTTACTTTTAAACTGACATTGCACTCTCAGATGTATATAACTTCTTTCGTGCCTTCTTTGTGTTTTATGACTTGTTTTCTAGCCACAATTTAAAGATAAAAAGGGAATTTTTTCCAATTTTTAAACAATGTCGATGGTTGAAGCCCACTCTCCTCCATAGAGGCTGTTGTGTAGGAAGTGTGAAAGGAGACAGCAGCTCCACCTTTTGTCACTTCCTATCTTCATATACAACAGCCTCTGTAGGGGAGAGTATTTGAAGCCCCTTGTCGTCTCCACTGTTCTTTTCTTTCAGCAGTTGATCATATCAAAAGCCATATTTTATTTCAAAGTGGAATGCTTTAGTAAATAGAGCTTGAAATGATATTACGCCTAATTCAATTCAATGAAAAATCAATGAAAAAGAACCATTATTTAAATTGATAGTTTTCTCCTCTATCCTCAAATACAACTGTGGTAAATTTAAACTTACATGTTTCTGTCCCTTGGGTTGTTCTCCACGAAAATGTTAGGAGAGTTTGTGATAATTGATAATTTATTAATCAAAACAAAAAATTCTTGAATATGACAAGCCTTCTGACGATATAGCGATGGTATACCTTCGCATCGCATAATAGTGAAAGTTATTTAGAATGAAAAACAAATCCCTGCCCAGCCATAGAAAAGGGTGTATTGCTGATGGTAGTCCTTGCCAAAATTCGTGTGGCTTCAGTTTTGGCAGCCTGAGTACTCGTGCACAAATGCATACATATTATTATGAAACTTCTCCAGGTCTGAAATATCTTGAGAGATTTGAGATCTCCAGTAACAACCGACCGATCAACAAAAAATGTCTTGTTTTGCTACAAAAGCAGAGCGATATCTGTTCTAGACCCCGTTTACACTACTGAAAGAAGAACGGAACTCTTTGGTTCCGTTCTTGTTTGGGTAAGATACCTCTTTTTTATCACATCTAAACTATAGCAAAAGGAAACAGGACCAAATTTGAGCCAGTTTACATTTCAGTAAAAAAAGGGAATTTTCACGCGAAGCATGCGCAGTTGTGCGGCAATGACGTCTGATATTTAAGAAAGCCTCGCCCCAACGCTAGATTAAGCCCAGTTTTCAATCTTAACCAAAAAGCTCCGTTCCTAACCGTTAACACTAGAGAAAACAAGGACGATTTGGGAACGGAACCAAGATGTCTAGTGTAAACGCAAGGCCTATCATCACTTTCAGGCACTAAAGAGTTCCGCTCTTTCTTCTGTAGTGTTAACGTGGTTTTTATTGTTATTTTTCTATGACAAAAGCAAAATTTTCAAAGCAAGTTGTAATATTTATACCTGAATCTTGGCTCTCTGTCTGAAAAATTCGTCGTTTTGATCAATTTTATAAAGTTCATAGAAGCCAGAGTTTACTTTTTGATCAAATATCTATGATCAATTTCAATGTCATAGGCAACACAAAAATAATGTCTCTTTATAACCTGTTCATGCATAAAAATTGTCCAGTCACTAAAAAGTTTGGATTCTTTTTATTTTGAACAAGCTACTTTAACCGGATCCAGGTTCAATAAAATTTTGTAGCTGAGAGCTTATTCGAATCAACAATATACATTGTTTTACAAAAAGATGTTATTTCTTTAACTGCATGTTCGTCTTGTGCAGGTATACCCATTCTAATTTCAATCAAAAATTTTGAATTTGAAATTTGAGATTCAGCTGATGGTTTTCAAGCTATCAAATAGATAATTCCTGAGCTGATCACCCCAAAACCATACAAAATATGTCGAGGCTGGCATTAATTTTTTATATTTGAAGCAGGTTTCTATTTCACAGGTCATATCTTCAAAAGAACGTATGAATGCTGAGTTATCTTGAGAAAGCTACATTTTAGGAAAATTTTCATCAATCTCTGTGTATTTGCGCACAAATTATTTCTGATTCACCGTATAGACAGGGAATTTCATGTAACCATCTAGCAACCGGCCTAGCCATTTTGAAGTTGAAATCATACAAGTAAAGGCCACTGATCATTTTAAGCCTTGAAAACATGTTGGCTGCAAAAATATTCACGGTCAGTAAAATATCGACCAGTGAAAAATACAGAACATCAATGCGAACTGACCTATAAGGAAAAATTTATGGCGATTGAAACTTTTCGTTTTGTCTAACAATTTGCTTCTCTGAAATTCAATGATAGTGCAGTTGCATAGCAGGGGAATTGTGCATTTTACGATACAAGCATGAAATTTGGCACATGTATACAATTTGATATGCTGAATAAGACGAAATGCATATCAAGATTTGAAAATGCCCCAAAAGCTATTTATAGACTAAAGTACTGTTACCCAGACCTTTATTGGGTATAGCACTACAATGTTCATATGCACAATTCCACATACGACTGTGAACGAAAAGTTTAAACAGCCATAACTTTTTGCTTATAGGTCAGCTCTTTCCAATGATGTAACCAGAATTGAAGAATTCAAAAGGCGAAACTTGGCTGACTGTACGTTTATCAAAGCTTTAATTGATCAGAGGTCTTAACTTTAAGATTTAAGCTTTAAAAATCTGTTAGACAGGTTGCTTGATGGTTATGCAAAATTTCCTGTCTAGTAATGCTTGAATAATATTGACATTACCATTCTTTACTGTTTAAAAAGTGAGGATGGCTCAGTGTTTTGGGTGGTCGTGGACTACACGCGAATTGACGGTGTTTCGATTCCAGACATGGCCAAAACTTACTCATAGCAAGGAGACGGGTCACATCGAGAGGAAGGACCAGGAAACAGCTTAATAAGTACACCTTATCAGTGTCCTGAAACAACCTTCGGAAGATAGGCAATAACAACAACAAATGCGAATATAGCAATGCAAAAGATATTCGTTATATTGTTGCCTTGGGTTGGGTCAGGCCAAATGATGGAATCACGAAAACTGTCAAGGAAATTGAACACAATTGTGCAGATGATATCAGTCTCGATAATTTGATGATAATGCCATAGTTACCAACACGGAAGTTGCCCCTTGAAATGTACTATCTCATAATAATTTTCCCTACGATATTTAGTAGAACTACAACGTCTGCCAAAATATTTTTTCAACAGAATTTCTCCTTTCAAATTAGTTTTTGCCCCTTTCAAACAACATGTTATTTTTTCCGTATAAATACAATACTTAGATTGAATCTATATTTTACAACAGTGAGTCTAGTGGGGACAGACGGAGAATAGGTCTTAGTATTATCTTGTCAGACTTTTTTGTGGTTCATTGGGTGAAATATAAATTCTTTTCCATTAAACAAAAAGTCAGTTAAAAATACATTGCTAGATCTTGAAATAAAAGCGTTTTCAAAACATCAATAAGCCAAAGTGGAAAATCTTCTATAGTGAGACTGTAGAAATTTTGATACCTCTCAACAAAACAAAAGCTACGACAGTCCTAAAAATATCCCAGTGGACATACAAATTTATCGAATCCAATATTTTACTAGAAAATGACATGTTGATGGAACTTTAAGTATTTGAATCAGGAAGAATTCATATTCAAATTTCTTAGCAGGTCAGCTTGTCTTAAGATTTGGCTATAAGATACAAAAGAAGAAGGCACGTGAAAAGCCATTAAAGCTACTTTAGAGGGGATAATCCACTGGTCTCTAAAAAAAGACTGGATCAAACATTTACAGTTATCAAGTGAAGCTGGCCTAAATTAGGGGCTGTCATTTTCCTAGGACCCAAGAAGCTTTGAATCAACAATGAAATTGAATCAACAGATAAAACGTTCTATTTACAGACCGTATCTTTTTACTGCACAGAAATGTTCTTCGGGATAAAACTAGTCATACCAATCTTTTGTTGATACACTTCAAGCAGATTTTTAAAGTTTACCGCAAAAGTTA